GGGTGAGGCAGTCCAACCTCCCTGAATCCTCCCCGAAGAGATGCCACCTCCGGAATGTTGTTGTTGTTGTTGTTGTTGTTGTTGCTGCTGCTGTTGCTGCTGCCTTCTTCTTTTTCTTGCTGACTGTACTTTTTAAGAACCCACTTAAAATCAGATAACAACCCACATAGTTAGGTTACTAAATATTTTACAAATCGACAGTTAACTTCCCTTTTTTAGTGAACTTTTAGTGAATAGTATGTTTCCAATTTTTTATGATTCAGAGTTTACAGAAAACCACCCCCCGCAAAACAAACTCACGTTCTGCGACCACGTCTTTGTACTCATGAACCAGATACCTTTTGATGAAGATGCTACAGTCATGACCTGGTTTTATTCACGCACTTTATTGACAATGTACGTACGTTAAATATGTCTTTCGTTGTTGTTTTTTCTTTGTGTGAAGAGAGGGTGATTAATTAATTAATTAATTAATTAATTAATTAATTAAAACATATCGTACATCGTGCAAAACTATGAGCGACGATTCAAAAATATGGAAGGTGGATTTGTCCACAAACCATTTCTCGTGGCTGACGTCTTCACATGAAATGCCACGTCACGCCATGATGGAGGCGAGTGTTGATGGGCGTTCAGAGGAAGGGGTGAAAGGTCAAAGGCGAAGGTGCTGCAATAAAAGGATATTTTTGGCGTCCGCTACATCCGGATACCGCCATTTTGTCTTGGCGTGCCTCGCTGTGATTTTATTCCTCCTTACTTTTGACGTGACCGCGGTCAAGGGACAGCCTTCAGCCGCCCCCGCCAGGCCAACCTACAGGTTCCCTTCCTCCACCAACTTACCCAACGTCGAGGCACCAACACCGGTTTTTACGTCCTTTTCGACCGCCAACAACAACTACAACTACAACTACAACTACAACAACAACAGAATCACAAACTACAACAACAACAACAGCAGCAGCAACGTCCCTCTAAAATGGCCGCCCGTCCTCAAGATCGGTCTAATAATATCCTACCGAGGTGACTTCGGGATTTCCCGCACTGACGTACAGGCCGCCATCACCATAGCTGAACAAAAAATCCTAGACACCAAATTCTTGCTTCCGGGGCTCCGCGATATTTCGGTCAACATGAAGGATTCGGAATGCTCGGAGACGCAAGGCCCCTACAACGCTATAGAGATGGTTTATACAGACACTGTTCACGTGTTCATGGGCCCCGTCTGCGACTACAGTCTCGGTCACGTGACGGGCTACTGCAACGTTTGGGACATCCCCATAATCACCCCCGGTGGCGGATCGCAGTCGCTGGACAACAAAGTCGAGTATAAGATGCTGACTCGGATGCAGGGTCGGTACTCGATGCTGTGGCGACTGCTGCACTCCGTGATGAAGAAATTTCAGTGGGAGCACATCAAGTTTTTGTACCACGACACCGGGATGGGTACCAGCAGGTGCTACCACACGGCCTACCCGATGTACCTGGGGGCACAGAAATACCCGGGAATCACGCCGTACGCGGAGACCTTCAACGAGAACAGGCTTCGGCAACCTTACGAGAAAGTTCTCACCGAGGCCTCGCTCAACGCCAGGAGTGAGTCTGCTAGTCTGTTTGTTGTTTCCGTTTGTTTGTTTGTTTGTGTTGTAGAAACTTTATTTAATTTGGTCATTTCTTAAATGTTTTCTCTCATATCTTTCGCACCCCTTTTTAAACTCTCTTATTTCGTTGGGGGGGGG